TAATTTTTTCTATACTTCTTCCCACTTTATCACTATCCTCTGATTTTTTAGTTGAAGTGCGTTCTTTTCATTCGTACGACAGCAAGGACGACTGCCAATACCGGTATTGAAATGGAAGCCCTTACTGCATGCTCTGTGAGTTTGTTTTCATGTAATTTATAGGCTAAAGCGTGTCGTTATAGGCTCCTAATCCGTTATAATAACCTCACTTTATTGCTTTTTTCCATTCTGATTTTAATTTTCTCTCTCACATCAAAATCATCCATATAGTATTTGTTTGTAAAGTAATTTTCCTACACATACAGTATTACATGATTTTTCTTAAATTGTAAAGAGTTAACGTTAAGATCACAGGGGTAAAATCACGTTTGATGGTTGAGCATTACATTATCTTCTAGATGTATCCTAGGTTGCTGCTCTCACCGTCTACGATATGTGCAAAGCAGTCACACAAAAGATGGTAATCAACGATATACGCCTTGTCTCAAAAAGCGGTGGTAAGACATCCTACGTAGGTGTCAGCGACATTTGAACACAATCAAAGCTTTCAAATTAATTTCCACTTTTCTTCACTTCCTATACACAATTTGCTAATGGTGCCTTCTATAAGTATGCTCCTTATAAGAGTCTTCCTATGTACAAGGTTTTAACGTGTTTCTTTCATTGCGGTATCGTACTTAATGTGATTGTTCCTCATTCACTAAAGTACATATATTGGCTTAATCATGTTTTCAAGTTAGTGTCTAGGTTAAACCCTGTTTCCGTGAATTTCTCGCTTTTGTCTTTTTAGTGGAAAAATGGTAGATTTTAAGTTGTCTATTTATTCATTTTCACTTCCTTTACCTCCAAGCATTTCACATATGACAGTTTTATTTGCAACAAAGTTCATAAATTCTTACTGAATTTTAAATCGTATCCTTGTATGGTAACCATCTTTTTCTACAGTGTTCCTTATGTTTTCCACATTTTGGAAATGCGAGTCACCTTCAGTGCTTCGCGATTCGCTAGGTTTCTTTGAGGTAAATCCGCTGCTACTCTGTTGTTCGCGGAAAAACTTTCTGATTCTATCCATGCCGTCTTCTTTTGGTAGTTCACTTATATCTTCCTTGCCCATCTTTAACAATAAATCGTCATTTGTGTTGTCCACAACAGCGTCGCTCACTCTGAGACCTTCTCTGTTCAGCAGTTGGGAAGTGTTTTCTTGAGATTGCTTCTGTTCAACTGTAACGATGGGGAATTTGAGCACCTTTAACGTCTCGTCGCTTGTTTTCACTCCAAAATGGCCGCGAATCATAGAAACTTGTAATTCATAGGTAGTGTCCAGAATATCATCATGGTACAAATTTCGGAATGATT